CCCCAAAACCCCAAAACCCCAAAACCCCAAAACCCCAAAACCCCAAAACCCCATAACTTAAGACAGTTATAGAATAATATTTTATATGAGTTCAGAATGCCCAGTGTGAATGCTAGACTGGTGCTCCCAGTCATGTATTCCCAAGATGCTTATGTGAGGCCACTCCTATTGTGAGAACTGCCTTAAGCTGCTCTTTCAAGAGGTGGAGGGGTCTGGCATAGTTCAGTGCCCTACTTGCATGCAAGAGCACAAGTTTGCAAGTAAGGAGGAAATGGAGCAGAAAGTAGCTACAAATTTTTCACTTATCCCAAAACCTCTGCAGAGATTGGCTAGTAGCAAGGATATTGATGGCCAAATTGACAATTTTGATCATGAGAATTTTGCCGATGAAAATTTTAACATTGAAATTGAGCCGAATGCCAAATGCAGCAAACATAATTCTCCAATACACTCATATGTTAAATCTAATAAGGTCTTGCTGTGTTCCTTCTGCATTGAGGAAGGTGCTTACGACAAGTCCAGGATAAAGTCCATCACGCAAGTGGTCAAGGAGACTCGGGGCAGTATGTATTCCTACAAGCTCAAGCTGAACCAGAACCTCCTGCAGTTGAAGAAGTTCAGAGAGGTTTTAGAACGAATTAAGAATGAGAACCAGAGGAAAGTCCAGGATAACATTAAAAAACATTTTCGAAACCTTGAACAAATCTTGAAAAATGCTGAAAAGTTGGCCCAGCAAAAGTTTGATACACATAAAAAGAAGCAGGAGAAGAAAATTAAAGAGGTCGTTGACGGCCTTAAAGACATCGAGACCATCCTCTGTGCTAACAAGACCAAGCTTCATGAGTACATACACTCTAAGAACGACGACCTGGTGTTTGAGCTTGACAATATTGAGGGAATTATCAACACCAAAATTGAAATAATCCCCAAAATCCAGATACCTGATTTTAAGATCAAGTTTAGCACTGATGATAGCGACTTGGTGAAGATAGATCACTTCTTGAACACGATGCACCTCTATTCAGTGATTAATAACGATCCTACAGACGTGAAGAACCTTCTGAAGGACAGTTTCCAGATAGAAAACTATTGGATCTGCCATACCTGCAGCAGCCAAAACAAGACTATCTTGAATAGGAAGACAGATAAATCCTTGAGTAGGGAACTGGCAAAGAACAAGGCATCAGAGTTGATCTGTTTGGCCTGTAAATCATTCAAACCTCTGGAACTTTACCCCTCATTCTACCATAACAAGGGTGAGATCTCTGAAGACGAGATGCGTATCCTTAACAAACGGAGGAAGGCTGAGAAAAAGGACTGCACTCGCCTCGACTCTAACTACAACAAAAATAATGAGGAATGGTTCATCATCAATGCTGAGTGGCTGAAGGACTGGAAGATGTTTGTTAATAACAAGAGATCATCCACTGCTTTTGGTGCACGCAGGTGCATCCACAAGGAAGTAGGGATCCTTGATCCAGGGCCAGTCACCAACCACTTGTTGTTAGATGAGGATAATAATCCTCTTCCTAACCTGGTGAAGGGCAAGCACTACCGTGGTGTCAATAAGGCGGTCTGGAAACAATTCTATGAAACTTATGGTGGTGGCCCTGTTATCAGGAAAAGAGAGCTTTCTATCTACTCTGAAAATTTCAAGGAGAAAGAAAATGACAAGCCTGAGGCTGAAATCAACAAGAGTGGCTCCAAGAAGATGCTTAAAAGATACTCTGAGGATGCCGAGACAGTAGTTCGGAATTCTAATGACCATAAGAAGATAGATAATAGGAACAATTTCATGATTTTGAACAAGAAGAGGACTCATCTGAGCAAGAAACGTGTAGTTGATGCCTCAGCAGAGAGCAATCTCAGACGATGCTTTACTGGCAAACTGGACTCTGGTGCAAAGGTTGGCTCCAAAGGTAGCTCAATTCCGAGAAGAAACTTATTCAAGAAGAAGGAAAAACCTGCTCCAGATTCTAGCATTCAGATGCCTAACAATCACTTTAAGAAGCAAATCTATACACCATTGTATGAAAAGAGGCTGAACAGTTCTAGAGATACTTCAGCTTATATGAGTGGGAAATCGATAAAGAATGAATCTTTCAAGAAGCTTGAAGGTATGTCCCCAATTCTCACTCTCTTTAGACTCAAAATCCCACAGAGACCAGCAGCTGAGACTGGCTAGGTAAGCTCTTCCACAACCGTTTAGGAGGAAATCAGGTGACGTTGCTAAAATAATAGCTAAGAAAGATTACGATAGTGATGACCATGACCAGTCCTCTGAAGATGGTGGGTTCCTACCCGTTGAGGAATGCAATATCTTCAGCAGGAGCAAGACAGGTATCCCCTCTACTGGTTTTTCCAAGCTGAAGAATCTCTTTGGCCGGAAGAGCTAATTAACCCTTATTTATCATTTCATTTAAGAAAAATTATTTTGGGGTTTTGGGGTTTTGGGGTTTTGGGGTTTTGGGGTTTTGGGGTTTTGGGG